ACAAGTACAGAGGTTTGTATTGGTTTGTCTTTCAAAGCAAACTTCGGTCCGATTTCGCCGTCTTCCTTGGATACGGCCTCGCTCAATCTGCTCCATGTAAAGCTGACTATTTTGAAGCTGCTAAAGCCGGTGGCCAGCTCGCGCGCACGGCACAATTTCAATCGAAACCGTCGATCGGGACGCAGAATCACATCGGACGGCTTCGATCCTGCACATTCACTCTCCACGTATTCAAGCCTTCGCAGCTCGCTTGGCTCGTGCAGTCTGTGCATAGCTGCTGCATGCAGTGCACTGTGCAGCACTGTGCAGCACTGTGCAGGGCTGAGCACAGCAGATGCAGCTGCAGATCTCTTGTAAGAATCTTGTCTTACTGTGGGATCCTGAGCCAGGCTGCCAGCAGTTTGTGAGAGCGGAAAGCCGCTGCTGCATGCTGCAGATTTCGGCGGAAACAGATTGAGCTCACACAATGTGAACAGGTGATGCTTCAGAGGAAACAAGAGCGCAATGCACAGAAGCAACGCCAAATTTCTTGCGGCGGCAGCTTGCTTACCCTGCCACGTTACAGTCATCAAATCCAGTCAAGCTTCATTGGGAACCAGACGCACGCAGTTTCTATACTCTTGGCCCACGCCCCATGCTGCCTCTAATTGAGGTTCTGCGCTGATCAGGACTATGCGGCATGTCTACATCAATGTTAGAGCTAGAGAGCCTCTAGAAAGCATCTGCAGCTGGCGGAATGCTTTTCTGAAGGATGCTGCTACGACCTGAAGCCACTAGACTGGAAGACAAGAACGCAACCAGCGGCAGACACACGAATGGTGAGCAGCTCCAATGAAGTCTCAATCGACGTTGTACATGGCAGGGAAGAAACACTGGGGCTTATTGTGTGGCCAGAACAACTTAAGTTGCTTCAACGGAAACCTGCAATACACGCTTTAAGTCAACTGGATGGCAACTTTGATGTAGCCTTTTCTCAAGCGCAAGCAGCTTGAAATTGTCACAACAAGGGTTCCCTTGCAGCTGACGGTGGTGGTGTCTGAATTCTTTGATGTCAGAGACACACTCTGCAGAAAATAGCATACCTTCTATACTGAGTTCCTGCAAGGATTGGGAGTGCCTTACGATACGGAGCTGATAACAGATAGCTCCCAATCGGTGTCCATCTGCGGGGTCATCACCCTACACTTCTGCTGGTGTGCTTGTAGGACCGCGCACAAGAATTGACAGCATCTCAAGTTCACCACTTCATATTTACGGCTGCAAGGGAAGAAGCTGGGCCAGGCATCAGAAGGGGCCGGAATGGCAGCCGCCGACATAGCAATGCCAAGCATCAGACTTTAATGGGGAAGTAAGCAGGCCAGGTCGTCTTTGCCATATGTCGAATCCCCGTACGTTGAAGCTGAGATGAGGAGCGCTCTTCTGCCACTGGGCCACTGTGCCAAAGCCACATGTCTGAAGAATATTGCAAAGCACTAAGACATGCGAATTGCTACTCTGAAGTTGGTGAGTCAAGCGGTGAATTACTTTGATGATTGGACAGAGGTTTCAAGTCCATCACCCTGAGCATGTAGGTTAAGATGCGGTTCCCATCTGACTTACTTTAGATTCCTACAGATCAGTCAACGTCCTTTATTGCCAATCTTCCTGTGCAGGCCGGCAGAACAGAGAGCAATTACTTGTGCGCAGGACACCAAAGAGGCGGAGAGCGCGGGTGTAGGTCAAGACAACAACCACAGTGCATCTGCCTTGGAGGAACCGCATCAGTAGGTTTGCCATGAGCCTTTCAGAATGGAACACCGCTGGCTGCAGGTGCTGGAAGCTAGATTGGCGAAACACGCTGGGCTTTCCAAAGAGTCTCTGAATGCAGCTGTGTACAAGCGAGGCAACTCTACGCTATTTGCAAGCAGAAATGCTTGCCTGGCATACTGGTATTGGGAAGAGGTAGCTTAGTCAACTCCATTGGACAGATTATGTGGCTAGTTTCCTGGTACCTGACTTTGTGTATTCTTTCTGGCTGTCAATGCAAGAATGTAAGAAGCATAGGGCACCTGCAGCCTCTTTTTAAGAGCAAACGATGCTAAACAGCAACTCATGCCTCTACTTGCACCTCTGTCTCATCCGCGCAATATCTGAGCAATTTTAGCTGAAAGGGTGGCTCTTCAACCAGTAGAACCTCTCCAACAGGCAGAGAAGGTCAGCGAAACCCTTAGCATGGCGAAGCTTTCTCTTCAAAGCTCCTAACGACTTTGAGTAGTTCCAACCCCGTACTCAATCTGCCAAGGCTTGACACGCTTTCTCTGATCCGTCTTTTCTTCGGCTGCAGACGCTTTGAGCACGTCCTGAACAACCTGTCCTCATCCGTCATTTCGCTGTTGCGCAAAAATCACGAGATGGCCCAGAACCGGAACCAGGCACAGCACTCCAGCGGAGTCCCCTCATACACTCAGCAGCGGACCATCCTGGGAGCTGTAGTACCTAACGCCCCTGCTCTCTGGTATGGAGCATCCCCGTCGGTCGAGAGTGCAAGTAAAAGCGAGCCTGCTAGAAACGAGGAAGCGGTCTTCAAGGTAAAAGAGGAGCCGAAGAGTAGCGAGTCGGGCATGGACGCAGTTGGTGCAGCAGGAGAAACGAGAGCGGAAGAGGGGAAGGCTGTGGGTGGAGAAGAGAGTACCGCACCGGCGCATCAAGAAGAAGAGGAGCCCCAGCAACTCAATCAGGTCGGCCCTCGGTTCTCGTGCGATTGAAAAGATCTTCCTGAAGGCGTCCGTTCTTGATCTCAGGAGCACAGTTGTCCCAAGAACGCACAACGTGATCGTGCTCATTTCGAGCTCACTTGTTTCAATGTGGGAGTGATACCAACCAGATCATGTTTTCAAGAAATGCAAACTCTAACTGTCTAGCAGTATGGCTTGAAGCAAAGGGTATACTTCTTCTGTCTGGCTATCCATGCAAAGGCCTTCACCGCCAACGTTGAAAGCCTTTTTGTTCTGTGCAGGTGGACGAGAGCTTGAAGCTTGAGGTTCTCAGAGAGTGGCTAGAGCTCTTGGTACCAGGATCAGGTCAAAACCTTGTCTTTCCAAATGCGCGTGGGCCGACCGAGAGACCCGTGAAGCATCCCGATGGAGCTGCCTTCGGAGCGGCCGCTACAGCAGGCAACATGAAGGAGCAGTATTTTTTGAAGGTAGGCTTAGCTTCCACTTCAGAGACATGCTCAATTGCCCCGCTGTAAATTTCACAACGCAGATACGTCGTGACAATCTGTTACAGTGCAGATACGTAATGACGATCTGTCACAATGCAGATACGTCATGTCGAGTTCACTCAGAATCAAGGACCGCAAAGGGAGCTGGTTCGGCCTTTCTTGCATGCTTCCCGAGATCCTGCGACTTGCAGTGTTTCCTTGTTTGTTATCAAAAAATGGCAAGGTTCTGATGATGTCAACCGAGCAAAGGGACCCTGCAATAAGGATGGCAATCAAGCTGCTTCGGCCCTTTCAACAGAGACGGCAAGTTGATTCTGACGCTCGCTGCATCAACCACGCTTTACGTGCAGAGTGCGTTGAATAAAAGGCTTGACGAAGTGAGGGAGGGGTGCAAAGCTGGGCTGAAGAACGGGCCGCGCCTTGAGTACATCTTGCGCAATTTCGTGGACCTTCTCAATCTGGGACTCGAGAAGCTGACCCCTCGCCAGGTGAGCTGCTCCTGCGCCAGGCTCAAACAGGAGCGCGGTACGCATTCTGGCCGTTTGACGAAAGCTTGGATGGCTTGATTTGAGTAGAAAGGTTTGCGGACCGTACGTTCTTGTTTGTTGATTTGGTCGTCTGCTTCTTGCGGCTGCTGGTTCGGGGCCTGGCATTCGCTTCAGGGTCGAACAAACTACTTCGCTACTCGCTTGGGCACGTGGTTCCCGGAACCGAAGCCGTGAACTGATGGATGATGAACCGACTAGCAATGAGACCCGGTCGCGCATCCGGCGTTCCATCATTACAGCTTGTCTCGAAGCAGAGCTTGAAGAGCTCTATTTGAAACTGCCGTGTCAAAGCAGAGCCCTTCGCTCTGCTTGCTTTGCCGCTACATCGCTCCGTCGCAACATGCTCTTGTCCTTGGCTCATAAGATCCACCTTCGCTACTTTCTTCGCAGTTCAAGCCGCTCTTCCGCCGGGCCATGTCCTTCCGGTGCCTGCGCCGCGCGCTCCGCGCATGCTTCGACGCGCGCGACAGCCGCGCCCAGTTCTGGTACGCGGCCGCGTCCGTCCTCGCGCTTCTGGCGCGCGACCCCGCGTTGCTCCGGAACCACCTCGACTTCGTCCGGGGCATCATCGACCAGTTCTGCATCGTGGGCGAGATGCTCCACGCCGACAATGGAACCCTCCGGAGGAGGCTGCTCTCGCTTACCCGGTCTCTCATCGACCTTGTACCGGTGAGTGGCTACGGGTATCCGTTCTCCAGCCACTGCTGACGGAAGGGCCTCTACCTTGACTTCAGAGCTCCAAGCCGCAACTTGAATATGACTCGCGCTGCCTCGCCGAGCTGCGTTGCGGTTAGTCGTCCTTTGCATACTTACGGTGTGATTGACTTCGTGACCGGTGTATTAGGAGAGCACACCTGACCATTGTTCCAATCAAGACTTGCATCAAATCCTATCAATTCGATGAGCCTTTTGCTCATGTTTCTGGAAAGAATGTGACGCCAAGGCCCAGTTTATGGTATCCCTTTTGCCCCTGCGGATTTGAAACCTGCTCGGCGTTGTCCCTCAGCATGCATGTTGGTGCAGCATGCACTGAACGGGTGCAAGCTGTTGGGTTTCCACCTGCGAACTTGATATACTGCAATGAGCATTTGAGGAGCCATAGAACCTCGCCCGTCGCTTCGATGTACCCAGTTAGGTTGGAGTTCTGGTCCTTCTCCTTTTTCAAATTAACGGAACAGGCACTCAACCATCACCTCTTTCTAAACCTCGTGCAGTCGAATGGATCCCCGTGGCTCGAGCCCGTCCTCGACGTGATCATCGAGCAGATGGTGACGCAATTGAAGGCTGACGTCAGGGACCCGACGGGAGCCTTGGCCGAGAACAGCGACGGGTTGGCCCGCGCCTGCGCGCTGCTGACGTACTGCGTGCATTACCACGGGGCCAGGTTACGGTGCGCCTCATCCTGTGTCGCTTGCGTTTTGAGTGTGAATGAGCAGCCAGTAGACTCGTGAGTTTGCGGTCACTCACATTTGACTTGGGAAGCAACCACGTTTGCGATTCAAACACCCTGAACCACCTGACTTGTTTGGCTCAAGGGGAATGTGATAGCATCCCTGAGAATGGGAAATATCCCGCTTCTTGTGCAAGTCAGCTCGCCACCACCGAGCTTAGTCTGCCATCTGCACGGCAATCTGAGCGCTTGATGCATGTCCTTACCTTGAACTCGACTGAGTCGCCTGCCTTGCGGAGTTCCAAAGATTGAAGTCTCCGTACGTTTGCTTGACTGACTCGGGGGCAAATTACTTTGCCATCCCATGGAAGTAGACCGGATTCTCCCCTACAAAATTCTACACCTCTCCCTCTGAAGGCGCACTAACATTACATTTGTTGGTCTGGAGTCATCGTGACTTCCGCCCTGCGGAAGGCTCATCAGCCGCATCGCCTAAACAAGCGCTTAGCTTCGAATTCTCAAGCGCAAGGTCCGCGAAGGACAAAAGTCAGAGTGTCATTGACCGCAAGGTTGCCACGTGTTCGCTCCTGAAGGTACAAATAGATAACAAATCAATCCTTCCTCACGACTTTCGTTCATCTGCCGTCTACCCCGTCCTAAACATGTCTCAAAACGTTGTACGAGGGGGCCACAGATGGAAACAAACGTCTGATTTACCTGAGCTTCAATTCATATAAATCCAGCCTTGACATGTCGGTATGCTCGGCCAACGCTCCGGTTCTTCTGCGCCAGGCCGCTTCTGTTCCGTCACGGCGCTCTCGAAGCGGTGGCGCGCCTGGCAGGCCACGTGGAGCCGCACGTCGCGATAGCCGCCGTCGGCTTCCTGCGCGCGTGCCTGGCCAAGCGCGACCCGCACTACGTGGTCCGCCTGATGCAGGGCGACCTCTTGGCGCCCGCGATCACGACCTTCCGCGCGGCCGCGCATGCGCGCACCAACACTGAAATCACGGACGCGGTCCACCAACTGCTGGAGTTTGTACTTGAGGTGAGCAGGCGCCGAACGAGAGAATCATTCCTACATCGAGGTGTAGCCAAACCCTGAGGCGACTCAGAGTCGACAAGATTTTGAAGGCTCTCATGTGTAGGCTTCGTCTGGATGGCTTGCATGCCTCTTTCTTGAAGTGCTGATCTTGCTTCCGTCCGGTCTCGGGGCGTTGCTAGATCTTGGGATCTCTTGTGCTAGAGCTACTTGCGATGGCACCGATGTGCAATTTTAGGTTACTGGAGCACCGGTTGAATGTTATCCAGCCCCTGTCCAGGTGTCCTCTTTACCGACGCAAACTCGACGCAAAGGTCGATCTTTAGCGGAGTCAGACGCCGACTCGCTTTCATGGGCATTAAAGCGCATGCCTCCGTCACGCTCTTCTTATCTGCTTTTTGGGGAATGTTTGGATTCGAAACGCTGTTTTACCGTCATGCAGGAGGACGCGCCGGTCGCGGCACTCGTCCGCCACATTCTCGAGAGGTTTGACCAATCTGACTTCCCGGGGCCTTATGCAGGCGTGTTCCAAAGACTAGTGCGCAGGTTTACGAAGCTCATGACTCGTGACCTCATCGAAGCAACGGGCAAGGTGATTCAAAAGAAAGGGCCCTGGTAGGATCTGCGCGTTAGTCCATGTCCTGAAATTGTTTGCTTATGATATTGTTGGAAGAACTCGATATCACAGAGCTGATTCAAAAACAGCAGTGGGGCTGACCCAATCCCTCTTCTAGAACTTCGTTAGATTCCATCCGGGGCAAGTCGGGCTAGTAGTACGGTCTCAAACTTCATTCCTTGTCAGGTGAAAAGAACAACGTACAGTCGGCTACGAAACCCAATCTTCTGTAGATGGAAAAAGCAACGTTGCAGATTGGTTACAATGTTGCTATGCAAAGCGGGTGGGAGATTGTGATTCGACCGGAACTTCTATTGATCTCATGGCATGAGCACTAAGCTACTGCCGTTGTTGAACACGTTTTGCACCTTTAGAACCCAAGGAAGCGGGCCTGACACCGATGCAATAGATGGCCGGGCTCCAATAATGACCGTACGTCCAATCTCGTGATCAAATTAGTCAATTCTCGAACTTCGAAAGACGGTTTTGCTGACAAAGCTAAGCCGTCACGTGAGGCGGGCCTGATGTAAGTGCGACACATGTGGTAAAATTTGAAAGTCATGCGGGCGCCATCGACCTCCCATGATGCATAATCTCCTTTGAACCTGTGTGCCGCACAATCTCCGCGCGTGCCACATAATGCAGCGAGCTGACTGCATATATGCCTCAGTGCCGCGCGCTGGCACTGAGCCCGCATGCATGTGCTTCAAAATGCGAAATATGTTTCTCACTGATTCAGCCTGAATCTCACGTACGGACAGCCGTCTAGAAAAGGTTCAATGCGCAATGAATCATTCTGAATCTCAAACGTGTTCCAAGTAGAATCAATCTGGATTGCGATTCGAGCTTGATAATTTAGTTCCTATCAAAACCTGCATAATGCACACTGAGCATTCATAGCCTTGCATTGTGATCACGGTACTAAGTGCTCTTGCATGAATCAGCCTCGAAACGATATGTTACAAACTGCTCGCTTCGGATCGTGCTAGCGTACAAGAACCTGTTCCTGATTCTATTACACCGTGCAATTACCGCTTTCCCACGTTTGTCACTCGGGCCACGCTTCCTTCCAACGGCACGGTTGCAGCCGTCTAAGTACCTGTCCGAAGATCGATCGACGGTTGGCGTGGCAGGAGCAGCTTGGCCCACAGATGATAGAGATGGAAAATGTGCTGTATATAACCAAAGAGGTTTCAGATCAACAACGGCATGGGGCTGTAGCTCAACTGGTAGAGCGCCAAGAAACGGATCCGTCCGTAGTGGTGGAAGCTTCTCGCCGCGCGCCGTGAGCTGGCCAAGCCGCTGCCGGGCTCCGCGCTTTGCCCAGAGACCCTGGGCCGAGTCTGAGAGATGCGGGTTCGAATCCCGCCAGCTCCACAACCCCTTTTCCCCTTTGAACAGCCTGAGTCTAAGCATTTCAAGTGGCCACTTTTATCCCCGCTGAGAATAGCGAATCTCAAAACAGAGAAGATTCGTGTGCCGCGTGCCTAATATGCTGGGATTCGTGCAGTATGACGCCATCGGAGGAAGTCAAAATCAGTAGTTGCCTATCAAATCTTTCATATGATCCAAGACATCAGCCGCACCGGCCGCGGCTGGTCGGGCAGCCGACCTGATGCAAAAGCCTCCGGGGCTTGGAAAGCGCTTCGAAGACCTGCTGATATTGGACATCCCCTGGACGCATCTAAAATAAAAGAATCCAAGCTGGGCACTTAGTAATCCCTTCGTGAACGTAGATAATTAGCTTACCTCGATCTTGATGCTGAACTATTCTGCTGATCTTCAGATCGTCCGTGAGTCCGCCCTTATGTATGTTCAGCAGAATCTTGCTCCTTTTTAAGCATCTAAACTCAGCAAACTCCTGCTCCTTTTTAAGCATCTTAGCAACATTTGCTTTTATCAATAAGGGAGACCGAAGCAGCCTTATGATTTTAGAAATACTACTTCGGAAAGTCAGACAGCGCCAGTGAAAAGAATACGAGTATGCGCTTAATCATCATACAAACAGCATGAGTCTGCTTCTCGCAGTTGTGCTCTCGACACTCTTGAGTGCTGAAATTCGCGACCAGCATTACTAGGAAGAGATGCCAAGCTGAATATCTATATTTCGATGCTTAGAGGCACTTCAGTCGCCATGCATCGACGCGCCGTTAGAAGTCAGGGTGAGAGTAGGGCAGTTTGATAATGAGAGGATCACTTCGCCTTCTATATGTGAACAGTGATAAACGCGGCCCCAATAGACTGTTCCTTTTCACGTAAAAGCCGGACGGCGGAACAACCTTTTGCTTCAGCTTGGAGCAGCGGATAGTGCCATCTAGGGCCGAGCGAAGATCATCACATTACAGCAAGTCTTACTAAGTCATGCAGCTTTAGGAACATTGACGGAGCGCGCCCCCCATTGTGATCGCAACACAAAAATCAGCACTGACCAATTGAGTAGGGCGCTGGCAACAAACAAGCCGGGCCGAAACATTACAAACAAGACTGAAGCATAAACACGTCCGTGCAAGAGCCGAGGTACACGTCTAGGTGAGTCCGCTTTCGAAGAACTCTCTCTGTGAAACTGCAATCCTTTTTCCACCTTGATCGTTATAGTAATACTATCGAGTCTAATGCTCGTTGAAGAAGGTCTGAACGAGGGTCATTTCTTTGTGAAGCGCGTGCGCTATTCTTAGATTCCGCCCTCGTTCTTCTCCAAACTACCAAAGAAAGGAGGCAAAGGCCCCTAGTCCAACTGGAGGGCTTAAGCATGCAAAACCGTAAGCAACTTATCCCGATACATTGAATGCCATGGCCGAGGTCCGTCCAGGAGAACGCGCCTGCATTGTCTCTCATCTAGTTAGAAAAGTCGTCTAGACTACTCTCTCATCTACCAAAACCAAAACACGCCGTTTTGAACACCACCGGATGCCGACTATTGGGCCTCGAGTCACCGTTCCCGAGAACTGGCAGCCGTCAAAGTTTTTCGCCACACTACTCTGGATCCTCTGCCTCCAAGCTAGAAATCTAGCAACCGGCATGAGATCCGTTGGTTGCGGGCGCGATCCCGCAGTTTGGAAGGCAGATCCCGTTAAACCCGGGCTTCTTGTAGCTCACTCCGCCGCACCCGCCGCCGCAGTTGTAGCGGAAGGGGCAGTCGGCGTCGGTGTTGCAGGCCATGCAGGCGGCGCACTGGACGTTCGCCTGACAGCTGTTACCGGTGGAAATGCTGGTGCTGCCGCCCACGTACTCGGCGCAAACGCAGTTGGAGCTACCGGGGCCGAACGGGGTCGGGATGTTGGCGCACTCGTTGCCGGCCGGGTAGACACACCCCATGACTGCGCAACAAGAAGGAGAGGCACGTCAGGACTTTCTGCTAAGCCGCCCTTTCGGCCAAATCGGGGGCACTAGCGCTATTAATCGATCGAGGTGACTTTTTGAGTTGAGGAACCGTAAAGAGACGTTGCCTTCCCCCACACGTCCACTCTTGATTATCGAGTTGCCGCGTCTTCTCTCAGTTTCCTGAAACTTTGGGTGCAAAAGAGGAGAAGTCCTGACGACCACAATATTCAGCTTTTGGGTCTTGTAGCAGAGAACGAAAGGCTCAGCTCGTCTCAAACGAGTCACTCGATCGAAGGTTGCGCACAAATAGAGTGGCGTATCCAGAGGACAAAGAAGCTTCTAACCTTCGACTTCTCCTAGTTTCCAAGGCAGAGCCCTTTTCAGACGCTTTCAAATGGGCGCTGGACCACGAGCGGATTAGGCTTTAGAGCTTTTATTTCTGCTGTGGTTAGAAGGCCCCGCTGAAGGAGACGGCCGAACATTTTACCCAGGAGCTGGTAACTTAAACGTCCAAAACGGACAACTCCAAGTTAAGCACAGACTTTGAGAAGATTCTGACTCTGAAAACGACTTACCGGTCTTCTTGTAGGAGGCGGTCCTGGCGTTCGACGTCTTGCCGGTCTGAACGCTCTTGAGGTAGCAGCAGTTGTTGTCGGCGTAATGCGCGATACCGACGCACGCGAGCGTGTTGTCGCAGCGCGCGATACAAGCACTGACGCTCTCCTGAGTTGCGCTGTTGCCGCACAGGCCAATGTTTTTGGGGCCTGCTGTGGCGGTGATGTCGTTGTTCGGGTAATCCTGCACCGTAGGTAAAGTGAGTTTTAGCCAACGCTGCACCTGAATTGGCGTCGAGTCTTGATTCACAAGGAAAAGAGGCTCTACCCTGAGTTTTCTCTTGCAGCTTAGCAACGAGAGAAATGGGTGCTGATAGAAAGTGGATCCGAGATGAGATCGACAAGGGACAGGATTACATGCTTGTCCCCCGAAAAGAAGAAAGCAAGAACTGGGTTTTAGAAAGGCCGGAGCCAAGCCCTGACTTGAAGGATGCTTTTCTGAAAATGACAGTCGTTTGCAAAGCGGCAACCAGCAGAGTTGCTTTTCAAGAGCATCTAAAGTCCGATCCTGAATTCAAAGAAACTTCACGAGAGTAGTATCAACATGGCCACTGGCACTCACCGCCCCGTATTCGACGATGTATCCGGGGTAGCCTGCACGACTACGGACGAGGGAATCAGACGAGAGTCCTCAAACTATATATACGGCCGCAATCTGCTGATTGCAGATTCTGTCAATCAGCAGTCTGCATGTCCAACTCCACGTCACATATGGCAGCTTCGAGTACAAAGAATGGTATGACTCGAATTTACTGTCCTGAGCAGCTCGCCTTCGAAAAGTCACGCAGCCCGCCTCCTGATATCAGTAAATTGCATGAATTTCATTACTGGGCAATCAGTCCAAAGTTGGTCAATGACCATATCGATACGCAGCGCATACAAGAGACTCTTGAGTTCTGCAGCAAGCTCGGAGCTCACCTGTCTTTAGATGGGTGACGGTCCGTGCGTTGGCAGTGGGGTTCACCAGCTTGCTCTTGATGTAGCAGCAGTTGAGGTCAGCATAATGGACGTACCCCGCGCACGCGGCGGCCGCGTTGCAGCGCGCCTCGCAGGACGTGGCGTTCTCGCCATACGCGATGGAGCCGCACGCGCTCGGAGCTGCGGGGCCAGCCGAGGGGTGGATGTCGTTGTACGGGTAGTCCTGCGCGAGCACACAAGAGAGAAAGTTACTGACGGGGATGAGCTGATACTTGACTCTTCTGGAGCTCTGACTAAGACACGGCGTATCCCCCAACTCCAAGCAGCTATTCAGCGGCAATAGAGAGGACTGCCAGAGCATCTCTCGTTCGCATGGAAGAATTTCTGGATTGTCACCATGTCAAGCAGACTCCCGGGAGCATAAGTTGGGTGTCGCAATGCTGGCCCGGGGGTCAGAAGCTATCTATATGCTCAACTGTGCTTTCAAAGCAACGGCTTAGCGATCAGCAGCATATGAAGGACCTGATCAGACTTCCCGCAAAGATCGAATGATGGACGCAACCACATGAGCAAATTATCAACCTAGACACGGGGAGCTGGTGCTAGCAAACCTTTTCCATAAGTGAACACTTTAGCAGCTCCCGATCCAGCTCAGGCATGACCTGATCCACTGAAGCTTGGAACCCAGAACTTCCTAAGCCAACCTGGACACTAGGGGTCTCACACTATCTGGCTGCCCCACTAGCTTGTCCAGTCAGCAATAGAACCACCTTGCACTCCACCAAGGTGCGGCTGATGTGTACTCACCGTGCCTGACTGCACCGTGTACGTGTACGGTTGTGCGGCGACCTGGCTGAGCATCATCGCTGGGAGGAGGAGGAAGGCCAGGATTCCGCCAGCGGCTGCGGAAGCACTCCGAACGGAAGGAGCTGTGGGCGCCGTGATGCTGGTGATCTGCGCAGGCTGGCTTGAGGTTGAGAAGCTGAGGATTGGTACCGAGCTGCTGGAAGACTGGAAGATTGGACCCAGGACTGGCGACTGGGGCTTTGAGAGCTGCGGGAAGGAGGGGCGGTGCCAAATGGGAATGGAAAAGTGTGGGAATGAAGAAGCTGAGGATTGGGGGCTGCAATTTATAGGGCTAGCGAGGGGCTAGCAAGTGAGCAGTGAGCTGGACATGAGGGTTCCACTAGCAGCTCCCCGTCCTTACTACACAGTCTGCATGCAACCAGGCACTTATGGCAGGTTTTACAGGGGGTGATCAGAAGGCAATTAATGGAACTCACACTCAACTAGCTAGCTCCGCCTGGCCAGCTGGCTGGACATCGGTACCTCACTAGAAGTTGGAGGGAATTCGAAAAGTTCCTGCAAAATCGAGTGCCTTTCGGCAACCTTAACTTAAAGGACAGTGGGAGAGAAACCCGGCAAAGGTGCCCATGTGTCATGATGCACAGTAAAGGCTTGCGAGAGAGCGAGTGCCAGAGTGCGTTAGTGGTCTCATGTTAGTAAATGCATGCGGCAACCGCCGCCTCTGAGGCCAGTTAGGTGAACCGGGCCGGCAGCTGCCGGCCTGCCAGGAGCACTAATTGCGCGTCATTAATGCTCATAATGCATCACTCCGGACGGAGGTACTGCCCGGGAAAAGAACCTGACTTATATGATCTTAGGCCGTAGGAAATCATGCATGGGAGTCAATAACGTCAAGCCCGGGGAACGAAGAAGGTTTCTATATCCTTTAAGGGACCTGGTTAGTGACGAATTCGCCGCCATTCACTGTGGTTCAGGTATCTGGGTTAGGCTTGACCATTTGTCTTTGACCGGTAAAACGACTTTGTTCAACACCGTGGACCTTCCTGAATAGAATCGATTTTCCCCGGCCATGAGTATGGTATTCAATTAGTGCTCAGCCCGGTAGGTACTCCGGTAGATAGTACGCATTGCTGGTCCTCAGGCAACCGCTGAGCGGTTGCACAGCTCGGTGCCTGGGTGCCAGAAGTAGACTTCTATATATACGTGACTGGGTTCGCAATCAGCTAGTCAGCTGGATTGCTAGCTGTAGCTGGTACTAGGCTGAGAGGGGGCTAAAGTGAGCTGTGTCTCAAGCTAGTCTATAGCCAATCACAGTTCTCCGACTTGTGGTGTAAGCCTGGCCCCTTTTCAACAACTCGCCGGGCACGAAAGTTGGGTGTTTACGCGCTTAGCAGTCCGCAGTGCGCAACAAACCAACCCTTCCTAACCACCGGGCTAACCCCACTAATCATACCCCGGGCGTTTCTACTCTCTCATTTAAAGCACTGAATCATTAGGCTGTTACCAAGGGCACCCATACGTTACAGGTTGCAAGCAAGTTGCTGTGCTTTGCATGAGTCACGTGATGAGAACCAGATGCACAGGCCATGCTGCAAGACGTTGCCACACATCACGTGACGCATTAACTACAGTACTTGAGCTGATGAGCTGTCAACTGCACGCTGCGCGGCGGCCGTGTTACTCTCTCGATTAGAAGCATACTTCAGACAGCTGACTCGACTTTACATATCAGCTCCGCGGGAACTAAAAACCACACATCTTTCTGGTTCTATTAGGGGAGTATACTTACTGATTCTCAATTTCTTGTCCCTTGGTTATCAGCTGAAAGCTAGATACCACCAACCTCACAATAGTGCCATGACGTAATTCAAACCTAGGCAAGTCAGGCACTATGGTGCTCAGCTGCGCTCAGCTGGGCTGTTCGCTCAGCTCAGCCGGGCTGCCCGCGGTCGCCCCAGGAGTCGAAGAAGGCACTGCGCGCTCGCGGCCGTGTTCATATTACTTAATTGCAAGCAGCATCAGGAGGGCGCGGCCTTAGCACTCCGCACCCAGTTCGCATACACATAACAGCATCATAGCATAACAGCATAAGAGCTTAAGAGCATAAGGGCATAAGAGCATGAGCGGTACTGTAAGAGCGTAAGCGCATAAGCATCTTATATCGTAGAGGTGCAATCATGGGCACCTGTCTTCTCGACGTCTTTTGTTGTATGCTGCGGTCACTTCGTGTGTTTGTGAGGCTATGTTTAAGGTTGCAAACAACGTCACTGAGTCAGACTCGTTGGGGGTGAATCCGGTATCGCCACAAATGTATCATATCAGGATGGCTTCCATCTTTGCCGCATAATAACGAGCCGAACTAGTGAAGACGTCAAGCTAGTGTGACTCCAGCCGTAGATTAAAATGTTGCTGCGCCTTTAGCTTTGTTGAAGGGCTATGTGAACGACGCTCAGCATGTCGACGGCCATGTGATCTTGTCCTGTCGGACTCGCCTCAGATTTGCATTCATGATTGCACCAACGAAAAACTCGCAGCTCGATCTACTTCTCCTTTCACACGTCTTGTTGCTTCGCTTACATTTTGACACCTGGACCGGACGTGGCCGATTCGGCTTCTTAGACACTAGAAGCAGTTTCCTGCACCTGATTCCATGCAATATTACAAGCGAGGAGGCATACGTTGACTTATACGCTGGCAGCCGCCTGTAAACACTGGAGTAAAGCGCCCCCCTTGGCAGTGCCATTGTAACGCTGGCAGCATTGCGACTACCGTAGCAACTACTAAGGTCAATGGAGTAAGGTTGTGGGCTTGGCGATGGTAAAGCTGTCTTTCTGGGGCAGGATCAGACTCGGCAAGCGCCGTGTAAGGCTGTGCCGGACCTATCATGCTCAGGCCGGGTTCAAACAGAAGCGGCCGCCTCAAAGCCGCGAAGCTGGCTAAAGAATCATTGCAGTTGCTCGTCAATTCGCTGTGTTGGCAGATCCTGGTAACTCAATCTGTGCTCCAGTGAAGCGAGCTGGCCTAAGCCCGCGAAAATCGAGTATTCGCAGCCGGGCCTGCGGCGCTTGTAATGCACCCTTTTTTCACAGTCTTTCGTTTATGAATTATTGTTCTCCTAATGCGTCAAAATCCCCTTTCAGAACAACTGCTTCAGCTAGGCTCTCGACTCTCAAAGATGTCTCTCGACAGTTGTTTAGCAATCCACTGCTCTGTACACGCACGTTGGAACGTGCTCTCTATACCATACTCAGCTTGTCTACTGTTACTTCGGTGGCTTTCCCTGACCCCACGTTTGACGCGCGATGGTTGCCAGAACCCGTTCCGAGGCCCCTGTCCAACGGCGTATCTCCGAAGCACGCATGGACATACTCTAACAACCGGTTTAGAGTATCCGGGTCTACAGTCCCGTACTGCAGAAAGAAAGATATGGTGTTTAGTAGGAAGGGAAAAAAAGTTAGTAACTGCCCAAAGAGGTGAAGGGGAGGGAGAAGTGTAGGGAAGCGATTGCCACCGTAGTTTCTGTAGATTCAGATTACCACCAGCGCTTAGAAGCTGCTGGCTACGTCGCAGGAATGGTTCTCAACAGCAGTGGTGTGCTTAATATCAGTGTGAACCACCCCCCAGTTCTAGTAATCGTTCTATCAAGCTTTTTTCAGAGAAACTGGTCATTATAGCATGCGTTAGTTTCTTCTACGCAGCTTCTGACTTGAACATATAAGAACATTCGCTTTCCACGCAGCTTTATGGCTTACTAGAACAGTGGGGTGGGCATATTGTGTATCAAGCATTAGCACCAGCCTTGCTACTTAGCCTCCAGCCTCTCAGAGCCCAGCCGTTTCTTGCGAGGCCTACGACGGCCAGGGGCCAAAGGTTAACGAAACCCACATTTATCCAAGTTCAAAACAGAAATTGATTTGGCTCTTCTTCATCCTTTCGACAAGTCTCTAGTTAGGATCATTCACCTGCTCCTCCAGGCACCGGGTCAAGATTGCTCTCATCTGAGACTGCGGCACATCCACCCCGTCCACAAATAACACGTTATCTCGCCAGGTGTACTTGCTCGACGGCTTATCTGAAGACGAGAAGGGAAAGGCCGTGAGAACGCTACCGTCTGATGTGAATCAGGAACGTTCCTGGTCCAAGGATTGATAGATTTTCTTCGCTTCGCAAGTCTGCACTGTCTATCAGATTGTAATGCATCCTGTTTTTATATGTTTGCTTTACTTCAAATGCAATCCTGGATTTGTCTTTTTCACATCCACCTCCGAAAAAGAGATGGAAAGCGAGCACAAAGGTATCTGATAATTTGGAGCTTCTTTGCAAGAAACTGGGGGCAAAAAAGACAAGCAGATTCCCAGTATTAAAAAGACATAATTCAGATTCTACCCATCTTGTTTTCGACTTCAAACCAGAGCGCGACTCATAAATTGCGGCGCGGCTCGACCCTGAGGTGCAGATGACACACAGAAATGCCTGGCGCTTTTCTCAGGCCCCCAACCAACTTCGTAGCACGAATACAAACTGAGTCTAAGTCCCACGTGGCGGGCTGCGCGGGCCGTCGCTGGCATATCCACACAGGTCAAAACCTTTGAAGGCTGTGATGGCCAAAGAGTGCTCGGGCTTTGAACGAATGTCGCTCGAAGAAGGACGAGGTTCTGCAGAACTTGAACTCAGAGCTAAAAATACATTTTGGCCCACCTTGAACGACTGCCTTCGGCTTCGCTTTCCCGCCACTACCACTGCCGGCGGAGCCGCGGTGTTGAGTGTGTTTATGCTGCATATTGGCACCCAAAGGATTTGAGTCCCGCTAGGTCTTGATAAAGTGCAAAGGCGTTTTTCGATCATGAGCCCTCCTCGTTGACAGAGCCGTTTAGCAAGCCACCATGCGGTAGTGTAATAGTACAGACTGTATCTCAGAACGGGTACGGTGGGAGGCAATACGAATACTCGAGAAAGCGTCGGACATTCGGCCTGAGGCTCACGTGCATATGCTTCTCTTTGTAGGTGCCCACGATAGCTTGCAATGTCCGCACGCTGCCCAAATGCCTCCAATGACGTACGAGCCATCTGAACTCGACGCGCCAGTCCAGGCTCTGCTTCTCTTGGAGCGCAATTTCGTCTTTGATCACCTGTGGTGGAAAAAGCCCACTGAGTTTCAGGATCCGACGATTCTGACGCCGTCTCGGGCGTACGACCAATCATTACAGCCAGGATGAGCTTTGAAGCTGACACGTCAGCCGCTCACTTAGCGCCGAAAGATCTCGTAGCTGGATTTTGAATTGACCCAACGTGTCGATCATGTTGCCAAAGCTTGAAGTGGATCCTTCAATATTTAACAAAAACATCTCGTCAGGATAGGGATGAAATTCGAAGTCACGGTCAGACGATAAAGCTGGATCGAAGTAATTTTTGAGTAACGGGAGGGCTGGAGACAAAAGGTGCTGAAGTGGACTTCCGTGTGACTAGCCTGACTCGGATTTGGCAGATACTAGAAATCGCTTCTCGAGCAGGCAGACGAAGTTGCTCAGAAGACAATCTTTTCGGTTACGCGACGCTTGGCAGGAACGTCAATCGTATAGAGGGATCCCCGCAATCAGTCTTTAGAACGGGATGGTTCTAAAACCCTTGGATCACGTGGCTGTGAGGACCAGAAGCGGAACCTGATCATTTGCTGAGCGACGCACAAAAGGCTTACTGTCCGTTTCACGACTTAAATCAGCAACCGAAGGCGTCGTTCCTTCCCACGGAGACAAAACTTATTCACTATTTTAACCTACGATCTTTTATGGACCAATAAAGAGCTAGTAGGCAACGGGCATCATAGGCTCACCCCGAACACGTCAACAACGATGGCGACCAGGAACTGAAGGATGATGAATTGCGCCAGGATGTTATAGGTCCAGAAATAGATCCGCGAAGGGATCTTATCCCACATCGTCGTGGATGCGTCAAGCAAGGCCTGATTGATCTGCAAGGAGGGGCAACACAGGTCCGAGTTTCTATGCCTATCAGTATCAGAAGACCCGGTGTGCACATCTCGTCATGCGGGTTCAAGTGGGCGCTTGCAGCGCCTGAAAGTGACAGAGACGGATTTCCAGAACATCAGATAACACTTGTAGAGGAGAGAGATCGATGCAAAAGCAGACTGCCGCGCTAGTCAGAAGAATCAAGGACACATGCTTTCTGCAATCTTTTACTCTGATCAGTTCAGGTCAGACAAATCAGTCACAACCGTACAGAAATGTTTCTTTTCGGTTGCTGAAGTGCGTGCGGTGTATTCCGAGATTAAAAACACCTCTGGTACAAACGCTAGCGGCTCACCGAAGTGTCTCCAAGAGACATGACGATGCACTGGTTGAGCGCCAGACTGAAGGTCGACAGCTCATAGACCGTCGTCCCAAAGATGAGCTGGCCCATTGAAGAGTAGATGAAGACAAAGATGGTCCAGACGACGAAGAACGCCGCCAAATTGGGCACCGCCGCGTGGAGGGTGCGCGTGACCATTCCCAAGCGGGGGTGGAAGTGCATGTGGTCCAGAATGCGCAGGAAGACGAGGAGCATGCTGTGGGGGGAGCAAAGGACTTCGAATCAAACTTATGATTTTTGATTACTTGAAGCCTTCGCTACATTAAGCCTTTGATTTTCTTGATGAAGGTTGGGTTTGCGAGACGTAGCTTCAAGCCGTTGTGCGCCTAGGGCAAAATACATAATCTGAAGAGTTAGTACAAGGAATGGTAGTTGATCGAAAGTGACTTATCATTGAAAGGAAACCGTTCGTCTAATGTATAGACTTGCTCTGCGCTTTTCGTCGACCTTCCGGGTGAAGAAGGGAGGCTCGATGCACGGGGGATCGAGGAGGTGGGCCATTCGCCCGCCCAAAGTACGGTGACCAGTTTCTATGACTCTCTTCTTCAGCATCTGTGGTCGGAAAAACGTGGACGCGTTGATAGTGAAGCCCTGATAAGCTAAGGCCATGCACAGGTCTTGCAACCACACCAGAAACTTCGTCGCTGGCAGTGATCTGAACGAGTGTGCTTCCAGATAGGCAGAAATGCTGCACGAAGGTGGGCACTGGAAAATTGAAACAAGGGCGCTGAGAGGGGCTCTGAGACTGTCGGTCCGGACAAGCAAGGCGACCACGGACAAGAATTGCGGACAGTCGGAACGATGCCCCTGCCCAAGTGACAAAAGACACGCGCCCAACGGCAGACAATCTTTCCCAAAACCCGAAGGCTGAAGTGGGCTCCAGAGAAAGATTGACCAGAGTTACGGCCTTCCAAGAAAGTTTCGACTGCTTTAGAGTACTGCTTGGTAGTACGTACAGCGGTGCCTGCTTTGAGTGTCTGCACACTCAGATGTTGGTCGTACACCTTAAGCCCAATTGTGCATTTGCTGCAAGTAAGTACCTAGCAAGTCCTTGCGAAACTTTGCAGCAGACTGGATCAGCCAGAAAACATCCGTTTCTCCAGGAAAACCGCGAGTCTTCTCCGTCAGTGCATCATCTAGACCAACGGAGAATGCACAGGGGCGCACTCCGGCTCCTCCGAGTGTGTTCTGAACGGTTGCCTGGCTAGCGCCAGAGCACGATCAAAGCACCACGGAATAATTTCAAGTCACAAGCACTGCGAATCTGACAACACTTACTTGATCCCCGTCAGCGTGATGTAAGCCTTGTTGATCACGACCATATCCCAGTCGCGATCGAACTCCTGATTCATCAGCAGCGCAGGAGCAAGGTCCCCCTCGACCAAGCGGGTGTATCTGGCGGGCGCGTTCAGGTCTTCATAAACGTTGTACCGGCTCTTGGGCTTCAGGTTGCTGACCTGAATCTCTTTTGCAATCCTGGAGAAACAAAGTCTCAAAGTCTGAGTGAGCTTGAAGCTGCACATGGCAAATATTGGCCGAACGTTCAGCTGACTCTTTCCAAGGATAACCCTGCAAAAGTTCGTCGGTCAGCTCGCTGGTCTGCAGGCTGAAGCGTTTTCTGTCAAGTAATCTGCTCGGTGGGTGATAAAGCTCATTTTTCCGTCTCGGTGAAAGACTTTCGACCATATATTCTGCTTGCTTGACTCGTGGGACTAATGAAGTCGTGATCATGGGGGTTCAGATTAAACGTTGCTGACGTCTTCTGGAGCCGATTTACTTCCACAGGGGAACTGGTCGATAAATCAAGCAGGTTAACGTTGTGCCCATGTTACTCCAAATTTCGCAGCGTAAGCTGGAGGGTAACCTAGGGTTTTGAGTTTGACCAGAGTGATCGTATTGGAACTGGAGTATAAGTTGTTCTGGCATGACCTGAATCCATGAATCAGTTGATTGAAATCGAAAGATTCATGTCAGTGGGCAACCGATTATTAGTGGGTTGCAGGACAAACAAGACACGTTTTAGCACGTACGTACTAGCGTAGATTTGTACTACTATTGGGTCTTGGCCGGCAACTCTGCTTCTGTCATCGCAGAAGATTGCTGAATGCGCCCTTCTTGGGCAATGGGTGCCGTTCTCCGTGAATCACTGAATGTGGTTAATCGCCAAAATACCCTGTAGCGATGGTTTGCTTACCAGAGCCCTAGCATGATCATGAAGATGAGGTTGGACATCGTCCTGATCCACCGTTTCAAAGAGCGGTACGCCCGACCCAGCCGCCCTTGCCGAGCCAACGTTACTGCTTTCCGAAGGTCTAAGCCGAAAAGGAAAATGGCGCTCGCAAAAAACAAAGCCTGGACGAACCAACCCCCTGCAAAAGCACCGGCGGTTGGGCTCAATCTTGTTCAGATAGGCAGAGTTTTTGAAGGGCCTTGTTTTGATGAACTCTTAGTTAGCGTTGTAGCACACTAAGTTTTCAAACGTCAACTGGCGATCATGCTACAGCATCTTGGCATAAAGACTACTTCAAGAAGGTTGTTCAACCCTCAGAAAAGTGAACAACCTTCTTCTAGCTGGTTTGCATGTTTCTTTGTGATCACTTCGATGACATAAGCTCACTCTACGGATCAGGAATCACCGATGAAAAACGGATACGCTTCTTGAGTCTCACCGATGCTGAAATACGGTATTGAGAGTGACTCCACGCGTGGCGTGATCCTTAGGCTCCCGTCGAACTCAAACCGGACCTCAACTGACAGCAGGGAGAATATGGAGTAGATGCCTGTAAACAACGGAGCCAGACTGCGTTGGTGGCAGAGCGGCGGCGTTTGCTCTAGCAAGTAACGTAGCTCTTACAGCTCTTTCACTTGGTCATTTTCCAAGGGCAGGAAGATATGCATGCAGAAAATATGGGACGCAACGGTTTGGAATTACGGGACACGGGTCCGTAGGAGCAGATATCCGAAGTGAAGTGGGCTTCAAGGGGCCGCACGCAGTCGGGGGATTCCATAGAGAGGATGACGAATCCTGAGGTCAGAAACGAAGAGAGCAGGCAGAAAAAGCCTCCTAGTAAGCAAGACGAATGGAACAGTTGCTGAGGACACGGCGACTAACTGTTTTTAGCGTTATCTGTCACGTGGCTAAGTTGTCCGGATCTAGTTAACGGTGCCATGACTCACCGTTGTAGACTTTTACTTTGATTTTGATGTCGCTGGTTTGCCGATGGAAGAACTGGCTGTCGACCAGGTATTGCAACCAGTCTTGCGCCCGGTTTGCGCTAAGGTTCACATCGAAGAGGACGTAGAATCCTTTGGCCTGCGAGATCGATTGGGTTGAGTGCGGGGAAAAAGCAGCTCAAGCAGGAAAAGCGTCAATCCAAACGGTAATCGTGAAACGCAGGCGGAAAAAGGTCACTTACCGGCCCTAGCTACATGCGATTAAATCACCAACTCAACCATATGCGTGACATATCTGGGCCGGACAGAATCATAGTACCGCTAATACCGTGACTTTTGAGTCCTTTTGTGCCTTTCAGGGCCACTGGCGCCCCTACAGAACACCGTGCTTACAACGTTCGTCTTCCAACTGGCAACCTTTTCGCCGAGATGTTAACAACCACCCACCGTGCGATTGTAGAATGCGAAGGGGAGGCCGGTTACGTGCGAGATCTCCTCGGGCGCATAAAAGTCACTCGCGTTGAGGGCTGGGTTGTACAAGGACGAAGTTGGAAGGAAGACGGGGTCCATGCCAAACGGACCGTCGAGATCGATGCTATAATGCTCGCACCATGGGTCAATCGAGCCGTACCTGAAGGAAGGGGTCGAGAAAAAGTTTCGGGATCAGACTGAGCGCTTCGCAAACGCGAGTAGAGCGATGCAGCATGCGGAGAGCAAGATGGATGATCTATGACCGCATCAGGAATACCGAAACGAGGCTTGCATCTTCCTGATGTCAGACAGCAATCAATCACTTGCCCAAAACTTTCAGCAGAGCGGTCCAAGCACCTAGCCGTGGACAAGATCGATCCGGCCAGACTAAGCGGGTCTCCTTTGAATAGTTTTGGGTCCGCATATAGTCGAAATGCGTACGATCAAAGTGGAAGTAAAGCCAAAGACCCGTGTCACGTGCTAGCGCTCGCTCGGGCGCGCGCCCTTTGCCGCCGGCGTCGGCAGTGGCGTACAGGAATGAAGAGCGCTTATGTAAGCCTCCAGGATCCAAGTGAACTCAAGCAGGTGTTTGGGCCGGCAGCCTTTCAGGTCTCCGTGAGCACTGACAAGTGATGCGTCCAAGGACCGGCCAGGCGAGAAAGGTGCTCAAGTCGTTTAAGAAGGGAAGAGCGGGAATAACTGGTTGAAAGGAATAATAGTGGGCACATGAGAACGTCGTAAAGTCAGAGAAGAAGGTGAAGATGACAGTCTCGTGAGCCCCGCGGTGTACTTTTAATTGCGCTTACACATTGTCGGCCCCTCACTTGTCTGCGAACTGGTGGTAGAAGAATTGGCCCGTCTTGTTGTAGATGTGCTGAAAGTCGCCGCACTGCTTGTGTGAGAATGCCTTCCGCTTTTGCCGGATGAGTAGGCCGGAAACCACGCTGCGGCAGAAACGTTTTGTCAGAGAGTGATTTGACAAAGATTTGACTCCGCAACAACTTGACGCTCACGAAGCGTACGACGACCCCGGTCGACAAGACTCGGAAAACTGTCGACTAACAGAATTCTGGTTTTAGTACTTATTCTCGATCGCCGTATGCTAGTCAAGCCAGCATGAGTAGGCACTGGGTCGACAAACATCCGTCAAAGACAGCATTACCGCTGCTGTTATAGTCCTAAAATTCTGTCAGCAGAATCCTGGAGGCAAAGGTATGCAAACCAAAGACAGAAGCTGGTGGATTTGAATGCAAGTAAGGTCCGCGCGTCCCTGACCGGTTCGCTTGCATGTCGGACGCGCCGATGACGCGCGGCGTCGTCTTGAGCAACTCTTGGTACAGCTTCTGCGGGTTCAGTGACGGCAGGCTGACGTTTGCGCTCCTGGGCCCCACGCAACAGCCGGCCGGAGGAGGGGTGATTGAGGCTGCGAGAAAGATGGTTGGTAAATGATTTCTGCCTCAAGTTCCGAATTTAGGAAATTCAACAGGACCATGGCCGGTGGATGGTACCCTGCCGAGCACGTTGGGAAAGTCCGATCAGCTTATATTCCAGTTCGCTATGTTCGATCCTTCGTTGCGCGGAACGCCGGCTACTTCGTGCTTGACTAGAGTATTCGGCCACGAACTCATTGCTCTTCTGCTCGAAGCGCGCTCAATGGCCCCAAACCAAGATTACCGCTTGAGGATCGCGCGCTCCAACGGGCTCCCAACGCATGAAGAACGGGTGCTGCAGCGCGGGCTGTTAAGCGCGGACGTCTTGAGGAAAGGGACGCCTCTAAGCGAGCGCGCCAGTTGTCAAGCTTGTCAAAACTGATCATGTTCGAATAAGCCACGTTTCTATCAGATCGACCGTTTGGAAAGGTAGAATTTGCAAGTGCAATCTAGAACGTCAAATGTCGTTGAAAAAGAGCAGATTTTTGGTCTGCCAAAAGTGCAAAAAGGACCAGTGGGCAGGCGGCCGAACCTTTCAGCTTACGACTCAGCGCCTGATTCGTACTTGCATGCGGTTTAATCCGACACACACTGGTCCTCCCGATCGGAAGGGGTGAATTCGCATACAAACAGAAGCCTTTCAGCACTGACGTACTCATTTGCAACCTAGCTCGAAACAATGCTCAGCACGCGAGGCCTTACGATTGAAGGGTATAGAGCAGGACTCTGTGTAGTCGAATCCTGCGGAGCACGCCTGCGCCGGGTCCAAGTATTCGGCCAGCGCCCGACCGTCCAAAACGACGGCCCGCGTATCGGACGTCGGCCGTAGCCACCACGTATTGATTTGCGGACCGGACTGGCCGGGGTCTGGGCCGCCGAACAACTGTACAATGATGCGCATAAAGGATTATGGCTGCTAACCAGGTTACTACCAGACTTGTGTCTTGAATTATTGGACAAGTAACCCGGTTTAAACCTGGTTTCAAGGCTGGTTACCGGCGGCCCAAGTTTTGATTATTGGACCTCTTTCTAACCAGCCCATAACCAGCCTTGGAAAGGCTGGTTAAGCCATCTTTGCTTAAGCCAAAAAGTCCTGTGGCAACGAGGCAATTTCTGGGAAAGTGCGACGAAGACGATTGGCAAAGAGCCTTTCTCTTTGTCGAAAGTCTGATAGTGAGCGCGGTACCGGACTTTGCTAGAGGATAGACTGCTGGGAAGCTAAATCGAGAAAGATCAAGATCTTTGAACGGCCGCTAGCTTTTGTGCTTGTACATTTAGAATGACGGGCGCTGCTGACGGGTCAAGAGCTCGACCGCTCCAAACGAATGAACGGGTTTAAGAAGAGCGTTTGGAAACAGACTGTGCGGAAAGGGCCGCTGACGCATATAGACGCAGCTGCAAGAGGCAAGTTATTGTAAGCGCTCCGAGTCTGCCGCAAGCCAAGCCTGGCAGTTACAGGAACATTGGCCTCGTAACTGCATTACTGAGAGCAAAATAAGAGCGCGAAAGAGAAGGCGGTGGGATTCTGCGGATCCCGCGAGCAGGATTTACCAGGACGATCTGCTCCCGCAAAACCAGGGAGATTTGCGCCGTCTGGCCTGTACGCAAGGATGAGACTGGGTTTCAATCATGACTAGTGGTTGCGCGGAAGTGAAGGTTGAGTCGTTTAAGAGCCGATTTAATGTCTGATTGTCTTACGATTCCTCTGGGGAGTCGATTGTGCCAGGGAGTCTCGCCGATGGAGATCTGCTTTACACGAGACGCTTGATACCGAGACGTACCAGTTCCATTCAATTAGAGGATCTGAAACAACTGCAAAGAGCAGAAGCTTACACGGATGCAACAACTCCCACTACTGTGTAAAGCTTTGTGGGTTCAACAATTTGACCTGATAGTATTTGCTTCTCGGGAAGCCGACTAAGTGTGGTTCCCAGAGGGAAACTTTCAGAAAGCCGACGAACTTGATAAGTACCCTCCCCGAAGCCGACAGCACACGGCATGGCCCAAAGCCAAAAGCCAACATTTCCAAAATCTGTGACGGCCCCTGGTGCTTGTTCGGAGCGGCTCATTTCGCACCCAAAGAAAAGTGGTGTAAGAAAGTCAGCATGTCCTCGAACCGAAAATTCGCGATTCGCTACAAAATTGTCAAATAGAGGACTGGGGTCCCCCAACCTTGGAAAGGGACCACTACGGTCCACTTGGCAGCTGCTCCTTGGTCTAAGTAGAAGTCGACCTGCACGCCACGGTGAGAATTAGTCAACATCAGCATGAAATGCGCTTTTACCCCAAACGATAACCTCACGGCTGAGCCCGTAAGTCGCTGGAATTAGCTGCTGCTCCAATTGTAGTTGGTGCAAGGAGCCTCGACAAGATCGGATGGCTTAAAAGGGCTTCAATCAAACAACTTCGATCAGATGGGCTGCTTCCAAGTTTCGTCCCAGAGTGGTACGACGAAAACGAAAGCCTTAGCCACATTTCATACGCTGCCCTGAACGACACAAACGGACAAAGCTCGAACAGACAAGTATGTGACCAATGGAGCTAGAACCTGACCCGGACTCCTCACCTCAAAGTAAACAGACTCTTGTGTCGCAATAGTTGCGTCTGGGTTGGGGACCCCTTGCCTGCAGGAACCAACGCGAGAATCAGTCCCTGATAGCTCGAGCTCCGCAAGGAGTGACGCGCAATACCGGTATGTTGGTTGGAAGATCTTAATTGTTAAGTACATAGGAAGAATCAAGTTGCCAGAATCAAGCTTTGTACGTGGTTGGTAAAGTGTCCTTCTACCAAGGAACATGCTGCTTTGATGCCCTCTAACCCGCCATGCTGAAGGGCAAACGCTTCCAGTATCCAAAGACTTGCTCGACCCGCACCGCCAGTGTCAAATACACCACACAGTTCTGCATATGAAGTTCAAGCACGGAGTCTGACGTCTGAGACCCAAGCACGGCACGGAAGCTATCACAGCGGAAAGCCGGGCGGAACGCTGCCCAAGCGGAACACTCACAGGCAGCCAGCGTCGTTTGGCGCCACCCAGCACATCTGGACCGGAAAGGTGTCCCTCGATGCTGAAAAAGCTCGCCCAGCGCTGCATAAAGTGGTGCACGGCAATATCATGTAGGAGCTTATGATTTTAGCTCTCGGAGCAGTACGCTTTGGTCCAGTACGGCTCTGAAGAAATGGAAGGAGACGGCATTTGAGCCGGGGGATCTGCTGGCTCTTGGACCTACTGTGGTGTCTTGCCTGGTCATCAGAGATTACAGCGCAAACTGGGCAGAGCCACAGTCAAGATCCTGACGAGGACCTGCTGTGCTGAAAGTTGCGCAGTCGCCCATCAAGATTGCATGAGACACTCGGAGTGGCTGTTCTTCCAAACCGAAAAAAGGGTCGTCTCAAAGCCGCGGTCGAAGAGTTTAACGAGAATTGCGTCTTTTCAAAGCTCTCACCTTTTAGCTTCTGAAACGTGCGTTCAATGATTGGCCATTTAACAAGTCTCACTTCACATCTGTTACTACCTTTGGACGGCGACACAATCTGAATTTGACGTTTATGCGCACCGATCCGCAAAGCGCAAGCAACTAGTACGGTGGAGAAGCTCACTCGCCGTACAGCGTCACTTGCACGGTTGCGTTCCGGACGTCTCCGCAATCGTCCGGGCAGCCTCTGTCCGCATAGATACCCCCTGGTAGCTCGGCAGGGCTATTGCACACCCCATTCCCGCACCTGATCACTTACGAAAGAAAGGGCGTCAGCTACAATTACGAGCCTCTTGCGTGCGGTGCTTCATATGTCACGTGCGTCACAAGTCGTTGCCCTCACTTCGGACTACAACCATATCGAAATCATAAACCTCCCAACGTAACAGCGCTAGAACAGCCACACAAGTCCCCGCTCAATGTAGAACGCCCCCTGGAGTAAGGCATGTATGCAGGGCATGTATGGGGCGCAACCAGTCTGGAACCATCATGATAGGGACCATTTCTAGTTGCAAAGGTCTAAGCATTTGAGCCTACAAACCAACGCCACCACCTAACAGATTTATTCAAAATCGCGAGCAGTGACGCGACCTGCCCATCTCAGCCGTCAGGACCTTTCGCTAGGCTTTTGAAGCTGTCAAAGCTGGAATTGATTCCACCTGCATGTTACGCGCGGTATATCGAAACCGAGGGGAAAGGCGCGAGTGGATTTAGTAGATCTTTCCCCAAACCTCTGCTGCAAAACCTGGAAACCCGCCTGCGCGCATGCTGCGCGCAGTAACAGTTACACCGGGAGGAAGAGGAACAGAGAGCAACTTGCAGGTATATATCCTCGAAGGTACTGAGAGGGATCGATCGAGAATAGTATGCCTCACCCGGGGTCGTTCCAGATGGGTGTGATGAGTGACGTGTTGAGCCACGTCACCAGGTCGTCCACTGACGCAAAGCTTTGCAGCGTCTCCCCCGTGGAAGGGTCCTGGGGCAACGCCTGCAACAGCGACTCGTTGACCCCGTATTCATGCCCCACACGAACCTGCACCACACAGACATTTTGGCCATTAACCAAGGATGGTTATGAGCTGGGCAAGAAGTGGTTATGTGTTCGATAACCAGACTTGCGCGGTCTTTAACCCTGGCGCAGGATCAAACGCCGGCTGCTTCTCTGATTACCTGAGACCAAGTCTGGTAAACAGCCTGATTAGCAAAACTCCCTGTGCCAACAGGTTCGGGTCAGCGGATGCATGCGATCAGACGCTGTCGAATCATTAAGCTGGTGTGATTGCCTTGGTATGAGCTCTGAGATTGCGTGGTGCAAGATTCACAGCAGTGGGGTGAAGCGCGGCTGTCAGGCATGGTTAGCGGCCCGGATTCTCCCGATTCCCCCTAACTCAGGATATTTCCGGACTGGCATTAAGCCTTGGTGTAACTCAAGCAGGATGAGGGGTACCCAGGCGCCATTAACAGCTAGACAATTGGGTTAGAGCAAAAGCCATGCATACCTATCACCCTCACAGACGGTGATAGGTAGCTGATGACTAGTGATCACCATGCAATTGTCCCACCTCAAGGGATCATGCCGCGGTACCCAATATGGGGAGTTACCGTTGGATGTAACTTTGCAAGCAGGAATATTCAGGTCACTCTCGAGCTTTTTGTGGACCCTTGCTAAAGTGTTGCGGAGTTGAATCTGCATACTTCATGCGAAACTATTCAACGGCTGCTTAGACTGTCATGCTGGAAACCACTCGTGACTAGCTCGCAAACAGGTTTGGCAGCCTGACGTTCTCTTAATGACCGAGCGTCTAAATCGAAGGACAGTTGTGCAGAGCAAGCTCACCTGGTATCCAATGGCCGCAAAAAAGAGTGCAGCAAACGCCAGGAAGGCAATGAAGCTCAAGTAATCATGACTGTATTGGACCCGCCAGTCCGCCTCCGCAATCAGTGCTTGCATCACCTGACAAATGATAGAAGGCGGTCCAAGAGTTTTAGGTTAAATCCCCTCATTTGTGCACGAAAGAAGTTTGACCCTCATAATGAAAACGTTTCTGAAAATGTGAATGCAGGAAGTCTAGGGACTTACCACCAGCATGCTCTGATGATCCGGTCTTTGGACAACACAGCCAGTGTTCTGAGCGCTCAGGCTTTTCATTGTACATAAATCACTTAGGACGGCAGTCAAGCAAATGCTGTGCCAAACCACTTCAAAAGTGGCTGCTTTGTTCGATGCCAGCTTTATACCTGCATCTATGTATTGGGTCAGGTTCAAGCTAAGCCACCAGAAAGTCAGGTCTCTGTGACAAATCCTTAATTCGGCCACTTCTCTAGCCGGCCAGATAGCTTGCAACACCCCCTGATCAGAAATCTGCGTACGTGTGGCGGGCTATATGATTGGGCCAGAACATGCGCCACAAACTTGCTTGGTAACCTGAGTCTGAAGATCAGCTCATACTACAGCCTTGCTACACAATGCCAGCACATGCGATTGCAATGGGATGTATTGACCTTGTCAAAATTATTGAACACCGGAAAAAGACTAGGTATGTTCAAAAACATCAGCTTCCAACATTTAAATTATGAATATAGAGCCCAGCAGCTCTCCCTGAAGCTACTGTTGCCCACGCGCGCGCCGCGCACGAAGAGCATTACCCAAAATAAAGCGGGACAGGTTTACCTGGAAGTTGACTCGGTGCTAGGATCAGACGGTCACTCAAACCCTATCAGAGCTCAGGGCACACGCTTTGCTTAGACATGAGGAACAGCTCACCGCATAAAGACAACCTGCCCCCCGACCTGACCTTTACAGGTTGTGTCAGGAAAAGGATCTATTTTAGGCCCATGTTACTCTGTGGTCAGGTTCTGTCAAGCTGATTACCTGAGTGTCGGGGACCGTAGCGCCCGCCAGCTTAGCCTTCACATGCTCTGCTGTCACGGCCCTGTGGGAAGTCAGGTGCGGTGTGTTGTCGTCCTCATCAGAATGATAGCCGGTCAGTATCAAAGGGTTTGCAGCATCCTGATCTGGTGAATGGCTGCATTCCTCCATACCGCTTTTGGCCATCTTGATGTTTTCTTTCCAGGTGTTGCAGGTTGGGAATTGCAACAGAGAATATGCTGTCTACCTGCGGGCTGACTTACACACGCTGGATCTCAATGAAGGCTGTATTATGGCAGATACGTTGCGTCTTTTGACAGCAGGAGAGCTGAAGTTAGCGCGCCGGTCAGCTTCCGGCGCTTGCAAAGAAAGTTGGCCCCGATGGCACTAAAGCTCAGCCTCTGATTCTCGGGCATTGAGGCAGCCCCTGCGCCAGACGTGGCTTACGCCCTGCTCCCGCGCTGGCCGCTTATCATAATATATTGAAGATATGAATTGGGATATTTGCCACAGGTTTTGTGCAGCTCTGCTCAAGCTGCTGATCCGTCACCTAATTCTATTCAACAATGCTGGCACACGCAGCGCCCCGCTAACCGTCGGGTTGCCGTTGAGGAGGCAACAAGTCGGAGCCAGCGCCGGCCCATGATAGACAGCTCTGATTTGGCTGCTAATGAGGACGTCGCAGAGATTAGTTTTTCGAGAGTCAGCTCATGAAGCTGGGCCTCCACAACCCGAAATTCATGAGTCGCAAATCTTGAAAAGATAGTGGTAGTATGTAGTCGAAGAAGAAACAACTTGTCACAAGCTGAAATTTGCCACAACTTGAAGCTCCAGCGTGGCACCTTTACCAGAGACAATGGTACGGTAATAAATGTATCATCCGCTAGGTGCAGCTGGTGAAAGTGCGCCGGGCATGCACCAGCTTGTTTCTTGAACGAGCTCAACGCTGATGTACGGAATTACCGTAGTTCCGACGCTTCAGTTGGTGCGTTGAACGTTCGGTATCACGATTCACAGATTACGGTATATACCTGGTCGAGGTACATAGATGTGTGCCTAGGTACGGTAGTCAGAAAACGCACCAAACACAGCTCTATGTTTGGAAGCTCGTCGCACTACAGATCCGGTGCCAATTGAAGGCGCCATATGACGCCCAGCTCCGTTGAAACTTGAGTCTGCAGTTCTCTACACACGAGTGTCGACATCTGTGGAGATTTAGGAGTACGATTCTGACACTCGGATCCCGGCGACGTACGGACGTTAGATCTTGGGGAGCTAGCATTTACCCACTTTTATATGTGGGGTTTGAGCCCTTATCCCGTAGACGGGGACATGGTACACGCAAAAGGGTAGGAAACCCGACGTTAGTATTTTAACCCAATTGAGTTAGGGTTGCGGTCGACAAGAACCGGCACCGCGGGCCGTCACCGCGCTGCGCGCCCTCCGGAAACGCGGATTGAGTCCTTCGCACGTGAGCGTACTTGCTCCGCTTTCCCGGGATACCTCCCGGCCGCGCCCAGCGGTTCACCGTCAGACGTATCCCCATCGAACGGATTCTAGTCTATATTAATAGATAATCTAGGCTTTCAGTCTGGACTTCTACCCAAAAGTCCACAAAGAATGAACGCACCTCTGATTGGATGTTGAGGATGTTGCTCGGAGCTTTGTCCCGAATGGGATCGCCAGCAACTTCATCGCGGAAGCTGCTATTATTTTACGGCGAACGCGGCCTGCGAGTTGGAAGCCCGAACTTTGAATCGAGTGAACATCATGAAAGATCCTCCACCGGTGCACTCGGCCATTTTCGCCTATGAGCGATTGGTAGGCGCTTGTCAAAACGTAACGCTACAAGTGGCAGAAAAGTGGCAAAAAACAGTGACAGAAAAAGTGGCAGAGAACACCTTCGTTTCTCTTACTCCAGCTGTGTGTCAGGTGACCAGTGTAGGCTCTAAGCGCTCCAGATGGCCTACCAGCTGGCGGGAACTTTTGTGAACCGCGAGACCAATTGGCTGTGGTGCTGCGCTAACTATTCCGGCGCCCTTAATCCGGTCTGTGTTTTGCAACCACGGAAACTGGAAAGGCCTGTGCGAGGTGCATCTTCTGCACATCTGCCTGTTCAGACTGAATAGTGGAAGGACTTGGTTGGAATACGGGCAGAGTCGAGAAGACTGGAAGAGAGGACGTTAGTGGACCAGTGGAATGCTGTCACCGCGAGTTAAACCCAAACGGACTTCGTGACGTTTGCGAATGAGCCTAGAAAATTGCAGGGTCAGGCCCATCATAAAGCTGTGGCAATGCACTTGTTTTGCCGGCACTTTCCTAGTCAAGTGGACGGCGTCGGGGCGAAGGATTGGCTTCGAAGAGACGACCAATCCGGGTTGACGCAGCGGCCAGGCCAGGCGGCCGTCCAGCTTGATTCCTCCTCGATTGGACGAGTTTTCTCCGAACCAGGATTGCGCAGACTGCCAGAAGCGCACCAAGAGGTGCTCTGGACAATCCGTCAGCAATTTTTGGCTCTGTAGGGTCACGTAGTAAGCAGAATACAGAGCATTGTGGCCCCTTCCGGCCCTTTCGAGACACACTCGGAAGAGGTTTCTCCAATCAAGGGGGCTCCACTTGGTTCTGGCGCGCGCGCCCTCCCGCGTGACCCACAGTCCCACTCAGCGATCGTTCAAACCTCCCACAGACTGCCTTTATAATATGCATATGCTGCAGCAATCAGCAGTGAATGCTTCTTAAGCGTGGCGGTGCCTCGGTCAGAGGGAGCTTCTGCGGGAGCCCTCATCGCTAGACGGAGGCCTGGGGCCTTCACGTCGGTCGGGGAGTAACCCCCAGCGAGCAGACACCCAGGCAGAGCTGAGGTATACAGCGCACGAGCGAAGTCCCGGCGCGGCTTGTCAATACCTGCCAAGACACGCTGCACCCCAGCCGCACTCGTAGGCTTGGAAGAAACGGAGGCATTGTGGCGAGGTGACTTGGTCATGTCGCCTGACGTCCGATGTGCTGCGTGGCACGATCTGACGGCTTCAGTATATAGAACGCTGCTCGACGTCCGATCGCGCTGAGATTCTGAGATTGGTGGGGCGCTCGCCAGAGGTAAAGCACTTCGCAGGCACTTCGCAGAGGGGTTGAATGCAAGATGCAAAGATGACGGACTCTTCGCTTGAGTAGGCGGCCCTTAGTAGAGGGAAAGAGGGGTCCTGGGCTTCCTACTCGATTATATCTACTTTCGTCATGGGATCTCTCAGCATCCTAAAGAACCAGCTCGACATGGACAGGGTCCTCAATCTAACGAGAAAACCCTGACAGCAATAAGCCCAGTTGTGGCTTTGCAATACACGTCTTTGAAAACACGAGTCTCGGCGAATGTCAGCACATTTCGACCGCTTCACAATCTCCTGATTGGCCCAATGCTGCAGAGTGTGTATCATTTCAGCAGCCTCGTACACCTTTCGCACACGCTTTCCCTCTGAAGGGCCCTCGAGAGCACCAACCTTGGCACTTCAATCTCCCACAGAAACCTCGTCCTTTTCTGGCCAAACCGTCGACGCCCGCACCCTGCAGCTCTTTCCAGCCAGAACTTGAAGTGGCGCCCTCGCGGAGGGTGTGATTGCACCTTAAGCTTAGCGGCGCGAGTTTCTTTTGGGAGTGTTACCAGTCAACACAGGCGTCCTCTTTTGGACGGTTCGGATTGTGCAGCCATTCCCCCGAACCAGCGCAAGAGCTGACCTTAGCCTCCGGACGGGGCTGCGGCGCCACAATCTCGGACGTTTGGGACGCCTTGGAAACGAAAGCGGACGTACGTTCGGTGGCGAGAGCTCGGGACGCCCTTTTCGACAAGTGCAGAGCGCCTTAAAGCTGCGTCGTCGAGCTGGTGGCACCGATCACGCGCAGCCGGGAAGCATCCCCTCGCCGCCCTAGCTCGATCTGTGCGAATCCCTAACCCCACTCTGCTGGGAAGCGAACATTTCCAAACGAGAGCTGCTTGCAGCCCTGAGTGCTGCGCTGCTGAACAAAGATGCGGACGTCCGGGAGGCGCTGCGGCCGTCAGAAGCAGATATGATGACATCGGCCCGTTGATTCCGGACATTGGGATGCGGGTGAAGGAGCTCAGCCTGATAGCGCGGGTGTCTAGTGATCCGTCCGCAGAAGCGTTCAACTGGTCAGCGAAAGGAGAAAGTAGTAGTGCAAAAGTGCAAGCGCCCGGTCTGATGAGCGCGCGGGTTAAGACCGGTGACCCCGGCCTGTTTGAAAGGCGTCGAGAGGGGTCGAGAGGGCATTGAAACACGAATCTCTTGCAGTAATCTGCGAGGCGGCTCTTTCAGCAGGACGCACTGTAGAGCCACCAGACGGAATCACGGCTTGACCTTGTGATGGGGGTTATTAGCGAGTCGAGATGAGCACAGCCAAAGAGGCGGGAAACGGAGCCCACGAGAGACTCCGTCCCAGGTCAAACGAGGATAGTGGGGTGCTTCTTTACATTGTAAGGGAGCACCCAAGTAAAGCGCTCCCTGGGCATCAGGAATTTGCACAGAGTTCGTTGCCAGTGCTTTGCTTGAGGGCCAACAGGCCCGTACGTTGTCTTGATTTCAAGCCGGTGTCCAGCATTTGTTGCGGAGGGTTTGCTCTACAACTCCTTAGGCATGTGTTCCGATCTGCCTTCCCTTTGCGAGTCGATCTCTTTTTGGCTTCATCTTTCTTTCTGTGATGCCCACGAAGTTCCCACGGGGTAAGTGAACGCTCAGATCGCACGCTATTCTGGCCTTGACCAACGGCCTAATGTGGTAATTTATAGGGGAGAATCTAGGCAGGTATCTGAAGAGCGCTGCCGTTGTGGATCGTAAATAAGCAGCTAGGCTCTGCCTTAGCAGAGCTAAGGTTGGACACAATCCGGAAGCTAACGGCACATCAAGGCGCTATCGTGACCGTGCCAAAGCAAGGAAAGCAGGGCTGCGTCCTAGAGGAGTATCCTTAATCTCAGATGGCTCTGGCTACCGGAAAATATGGTTTCTGCACCAGTATGTACAGTTGTCTCGTCTGAAGAACGATAATATATCTGCCGTCAGTGACAAATTTCGCATTGGAAAGAATGGAACGGACAACAAGGCGGTAAAAGAACTGTTGCATGAAACCGTCACAATCCAGCAGAAACGTGCGTGAAGGAAAGGAGTTACTGCGTTTGGGCTCCTGTACAAAACCCAACACTTGGCTTGGCCTGGCCGTGGGCGTTGCCAATTGTCACGTTTCCGAATCATGTTCCATTCGAGGACCTTGTTTCTGCGGCTTCGCGACATTCGCGCCGTGGCCGACCGTCGTAATTTTGGTGCCCAGGCTTGAAGCCGTTGATTCTGACACGTGGCGTCATCGGGCGGCTGGACTCGAGCTGAATTCATCTGGCCCACAAAGTCTGGTTTTAGCAGAAGACGCCTTTATAAACACGAAAACAGCTGCTTTCTCCAACGCCAGCTAGGCGTTCAGGGCTGCGGTCCCTGTTTTCTATTTCCTTACCGGGCTGCGGTCCCGGTTTTCTGACTTCCTTACCGGGCTGCGGTCCCGGTCCAGGCTGCGGTCCTGGGGAACACGCGCTACGGGTGATCACGATCATCATTAGCGCATGCTCCAACATACGTTGCACTTTTGCTGCAGAAGGAAGCTGCTTGGACTTGGATCGAAATTGCGGCCCTCTTGAAAGTAGTAACCCACCACTGCAAAACTATTCCGTCTGCATCGTAACCTGGAGCAGCACCGCTAAAGCATTCCTCCCGCATCCTTCCAATCGCGTAACGATATACGATATGCTAGCTGCAGGATCACATGTGTGGGGGAGCTTCTGTATCACACTTATCCACATCGAACAACACAGCATGCATCTAGGAGGAATTTTGGACGCTGAATATGAGTCATCTTGACCTTCTCAAGAGTGTCACTTGAACCCTGCAGCTGTTCAAAACCATGAATCTGTGTTGTTCAAAAATGTAAAGAACTTGGGTTTGTTCAAAACGGCGGGACTCTATGGCTGAGTATGCGGCCCGGTCCATGGCCCGGCTTTCGAAAAAATAGCGTCGGCCGCTGGCAAGTTTTGTGGATAAATATCCAGAGTACCCCTGGATTTGTTCAATTTCTCACCTCTTCATATCAGATGAGATCAATCTGTGCTTGAAACTTTGTTTGTTAAGCGTTCTTTTGTGAAATTCGACATACCTTCCTATGTAAGAAAGGACTTTTGAGAAATACAGGTGTCATTTTGTACGTTCTGGTTGGAGTTGGAATGATTTGGCGTTGAATCTAAATCAACGAATGTCGTGGTGCTTTTCCGGGGGAGCTCCAGCCCTGGAGCGGGGGGGACTGAAACGGAGAACTGATTACGGCCGCCTACAGGACACGTGGCCTTAGTCGAACGGTTCGAGAATTTTAGGAGAGCGCGCCTCGGGTCACACCAGTAGAGCCCCCGAGGCGGCCCGCACGCGCCCGACTACCGTTCAGGACCGCGCACCGCACCACGGCGGCCTGCTGAGAGTCGCGCGCCGCGGCCGCGGCGAAGCGCTCACCGCACTTCCTGCAAACGAACGCCACGTCGCACGCGCGCACGTGCGCGAGCAGCGGCTTCAGCGAGCACAGGTCGAGGTCGCGGGTGAGGCGGCGCGCGAGCGCGCCCAGGGAATAATACCGGGGGTCCGAGCTTTCGAGAGACGTGTCTCGCAAGTGGGCAATCAATTTCGCCCCGGCAGAGAAGTCCAGAAAGCAAACCGCGCACTGGTAGACGGTTGTGCAGCCTCCCAGCAGGGGGTTGGCCTGGAGACCGTGCAAGGGTGGGGCGCGACAGACGGACCAAGAACGAAGTGGCGCGAGGCGCTTGGTTCTTCCGTTTCCATTGCTTTGCCGTGCACTTTGCTGCTGCTCGGCCGGCCCAACGGCCCCACAGGTGCTGCCACATGGCGGCAGCCCACAGGAGGTCTGCAGGTAGCCAAGCGGGAACTTCTCCTCGCAGATTTGGGACACTTCCTTCCGTCCTCGAGGCCCCACGCGGCTTCGGCGGCCGGAACTAGAAGTCACTTCTTGACAGAACGCCGGACACGCTCCATCACTGTGGCCGGGAGGAAGTGCGTTTGAATCGAGGAAATAGCGGCGCTTTCCAGGCAGCGTTTGGGGAAAGCACACGTTAATAATCTTTCAAGACTTTCCGTCTAGGAGTCGCTCAAACATTTGGCAGCGATTCCAACTGGCAGCCCTTCTGGCTTGCATAGCATGTTTGCCCTTGGGGAGTAGATCCAGCGGATCCTGATCGAAGTCGGTGTGTAGATGGTATGCATATTATAAAGCTTGAATTCACGACTTCAGGCTTAGCTGAACGCCGTACATTTTGCTTAAGGACGTCGCGAAGAGCCGGCACGAAGTCAAGGTGGCATCTCAAGAGTACGCTAGCATGGTGCAAAAGGAGACTGAATATTTTCTTTAGGGGCTGGTCCCGTCTTTGAGTTATTGCAACAGTTGCGCGCCACGTGGTCCGGTCTGAGGAAAGTGGCTCGTCGCTACAGATGGCTGTCGGGAAGGTACAGAATCTTTGTTTCAGTCTTTTTGGATTGACTCGCATTTGGGAACTGAACCATTCCCTCTTTGTAAGAAGTGGTACCACGTTGCAGAATCACGTTAACGGTGTTGGAGACCTGTGACTCAAGATTGATCCATTTTCAAGCGAACCGGTTGGGATCCATGAGGAAGTAAGAATGAACGTCAAAGATTACTTAGCCCCAAACTAGACGGTCTTTTCTTCCTTCCTTCTCGCTTTGCAAGATGTTCTCCAAAGTTTTCTGCTCTATGACCGGAACACTATATCGTCGAAGCACAAGAGTGGGAGCTTGACGTGGAAAGCCTCATGCGAAGAAGGTTTGAAAGGGGGAAATCTTTTCTCGTGATAGCCCCAAGTGCGCTTCGAAAGGCTTCAAGTGAGAACAGGCTCATCACGACTCGCGTCAGAGACCGTTTGCTTCTAACCGCCCATACTGTTGACTTGTGGGTGCCCTGAATTTCGCTGCAGAGGTGGCTCTGCTAGGCGGCTTTGTCGAGCGCTGTGCCGTTTGGAAGGTTCCATTTCGTCTCTTAGGAACCCTGGCCACCAGCCTAAAAAGTGCCAGTGCTGATCACTGGGCCATTATGGGCAGCTTTGGAAAGGGCTAAGTTCTGCGTCATAATAGCGCTGCTCGATCTCGGCCCACAGAACTTCGATTCCAGGGTAACCTTTCGACTCGCCTTCCCATCATATGTAAGCGGAAGGGGCTACGCGACGACTGTAATCTGGTCCAAGTCGCCAAAGTTTGACCAGGTTTTCTACTCGTCCTTCGACGTCCTGAAGGTCCTAGCTGAGTACGCGCAATTGCAAGTATGAGCATGGTGAGGAAGTCGTTACAAATCAGCTGAAGTTTCGCGAAGTTGGGAAGAGAAGATGGGGTTTGAGCAGCGCTTACAACAAGTCCAATCAGAGTCGAAAATTGAAAAACAAAGCATGGATGAAGTTAGGTTCTTCTAAGAGCTGAGAGGTTCTAGAGAACAGTGCCTGGCTAAAGACTCGAGAAGCTGTCTCCTACACTAGTGTATGGCATGGGGTTGAGATGCTCGAGAAGAAAAGTGGCGGTTTGATCTTGGAAAAGGTGCTGATGAATCATAACACCTATCTGCTGGCAGGGCCATCAGTTGGTTGAAATGAAAAGTGCTACTGATTACGTTAATGATTTCGACAACGAACACGTGCAATAATCTGCTGAGCTGCCGGCTTAAGAAGGCTGTCAGGCTGTCACCGCCTAGGCTACATCGCCTTTCGTCGTGGATCTCTTTCGAAGCTTACTTTAACTTCTAAGCTCCTAAAAGTTTGCCGAGCTTCCTAAAGGGCCCGTTAAGCTGTACTTGCAACCATCCCATGCCTGCAAATGCAGCTAAGACCCTTTGAAAAACAAAGCTAGCTCCTGTAGATGATGTTCAGACTCAAACACGCGGATCTGAAGCGAAGAAGGGATGTCATTAATGCGGTCTTGAAATCCGCTTTCTGTCTACAATTCTTCGGGCCGCCCCGGGCTCGTTGCCGACAGTCCGTTTGCGTTCCGAGACAATATCGTCGCGCGTCGTGGGCGACCGTCGCACTGTCGGGTGCCTTCTTAGAACCGTCAGATTCGCCAAGTGGCATCATCGGACGGCTCGAAACTAAAAACCTATCCTTTGGGCCCACAAAGTTTGTTCTGCACGTAAGACAGCTTTATATATACAAATGCCGCCCCTCTAGGCAACGCCAGCTAGGCGTTCAGGGCTGCGGTCCCTGGCTCCTATTTCCTTACCGGGCTGCGGACCCGGTTTTCTGACTTCCTACCGGGCTGCGGTCCCGGTCCAGGCTGCGGTCCTGGGGAACACGCGCTACGGGTGATCAGTTGACATAATTAGCGCATGTTCCAACATATGTTGCACCATTTGCTGCCGAGTAAACAATCCGCTTGGATTTCGAACTTGCTGTCTCTTTTAAACAGGGCGTGCCCCTATAAGACCCCTTTTCCCGAGACTAAATTGTGCCCGGGGATTTGGGGTTTAGCATAGTGGTAGAGTGCAGTCCCGCATGTCCAAAAGCTTCTTTTACGTCCTTTTTGTGTACCCCGCACAGCGGCGCACATCGATTCACAGTGCTTTCCTATAAAGTGAACTCGTTACGGTCTAAGATTCAATCCATGGACCTAGCAACCTAAATGGCGTACTTTCAGGCGCTCTGCGGCGCTGGTCCCATGACTTTCACAGCGATCTGATATTTGGCCGTGGCTCTCCTCCCGGACTCGGTGCGTTTGCAATCTGCCGTACGCTTTTGCTCGATAACTTCGACCGGTCGCTGAATCGGAAGCTCCAGGTCACTCCGTCGATTCACTCTCGCGCCCTCAGATCGACGGTCCGCGGCTTGACGGATTGTCACCGACGGCTGCCGCGAACCTCTTCCGTCCGGGTGATTACGCGTAATCAAACTCCCCTTTTAAAGTAGCCCACTATTGCAAGAACTGACGCGTCTTCATCATCAGGCGGTCTGCAGATCTGAGAAATGGCTGGGGGACAAGCCTCTTTGCTGTCACCAGCGTCCATCTTGTTAACGTTAACGGATTGGACGGTTCAGATCGCTCCGTCAAAATCTATACCAGAGGTCCTGATCACGTGGGAGGTCCTAGGTGTTCACAGCTAAAGCCCAAATTGCACTCTTAGACTGGCTTCATTAGCTGAAGATCGGACGGCTGTGACAGCGTTTCGGCCATCGGAGCGGGTCTGCGGTCCGCCTGTCATAACCCGGAGCAGCACCGCTAAGCATCCCTCCAATCGCACATATGGCTAGCTGATCAAGAGCACATGTATGGGGAAGCTTTTGTTGCATACTTTATTCAAGTATCCACACCGAACATCATAGCATGCATCTATCATGTGAGATTGGCCGACAGTGACTGAGTCATCTTGACTTCTAATGAATGTTACTGGAATATTGCGGTTGTTCCAATCATGAACCTTTGCGTTGTTTACAAAAACAAGAACTTGGTTTTGTTCAGAACAGCGGGGATCTGTAGCTAATTATGCGGCCCAATCCATGGCCCGGCCGATCCACCCCTGGTACAAGAAGGAAAGCGTCGGCCGCTGGCAAGCTTTGTGGATAGATATCCAAAGTAGCCCTGGGTTTGTATCCACCTCTTCATATTGGATGAGATGGATCTGTGCTTAAAATTTTGTTTGGGGCAGTCTTGTATAGTTTTTGACATACCTTCCTATGTACGAGTGACTTTGAGGAAGAGAGGTGTCTCTTTGTACGTTCTGGTTGGAATAATAACGTGAATCTGCTGATCTGAATCAACGAAGATCGTGGTGCTTTTCCGGGGGAGCTCCGTGGAGCACTTCTGAACCCCGGCCCTGGAGGGGGGGAAACTGAAACGGAGGACTGATTTCGGCCGTCCACAGGACACGTGGCTTTCATCGAACGGCTCGAAAAGTTTAGGAGAGCGCGACTCGGGTTGCACCAGTAGAGCCCCCGGGGGCGGCCCGCACGCGCCCTCCGAGTCCATCATGCCGTTCAGGACCGCCCACCGTGGCGGTTTGATGCGCGTCGCGCGCCGCGGCCGCGGTGAAGCGCGCGGCGCACTTCAAGCAAACGAACGCCAGGTCGCACGCGCGCAGGTACGCGAGCAGCGGCGTGATCGCGCACAGGTCGAGGTCATAGTTGGGGCAATGCAAGATCAGGCGGCGTGCCGCCAGGCGCGCCCAGGGATTGTTCGAAGGGGTGGAGCGGTCCAGACACGTGTCACGCAAGTGGCGATATCCTCTTCCGCCCTGGAAGAAAACTCCAGAGAACAAACCGGGCATCGGAGGCGGTTGTGCAGCGTCCCAGGGGGCTGGCCTGGACCGGGCGAGGGCGGGGGGCGACAGACGGACTAGCAACGAAGTGCGAGTTGTCGACTGGTTCTTCTTCTTCCTTGGCACCATGCTGCTGCCTTCAGTGGCGTTTAGCTTTAGGTGCATGCCGTTCAATTTGTTGCTGCTCGGCTCATCGGTCTTGCAGGTGCTGCCACGTGGCACCAGCCCACAGGTCCCCGCGTGCGGCTCCAGATCAGCCAGCCAAGAACTTGTTTTGAAGATGGGAAACGAGTCCCTTCCGTCTTCAAAGCCCCACGCCGCTTCGGGGGCGGATCGTTGAATCACTTCCGGACGGACGGACGTGATCCGTGAGCGTAGCCGAGAGGGAGTGCGTCGGAGGCCTCTCCTGGATCCGGAGGTCGCGGAGTTGTGGTGAAAGACGCGGACGAAAGTCGCAGAAAGTCGCGGAAAGTCACGTAACGTCGCGAAGCATTGCAAGTATCTAATGTCAAACATGTTTGAAAACAAAGTTCCAAAAGATATGTAAGGTCGCGGTGAAAGTCGCGGAGGTCGCGGAACAAAGTCGCGGAACAGTCGCGTAAAGTCGCGCAGGATCGCGGAAAGTCGCGTAACGTCGCGGGCAACTCTGGCAACCTCCGGGCCCAGGATAGGCCTCGTCTGAAGCATGGATAGGCGAGCGGCGCTTTTCAGGCAGCGTGAGCGAAACACGCGTGAAGAAGGTAATTGAGCATCGTTTGTCTAGGACTCGCTGAGATTGGCAGCGAGTCCAACTTGCATGGGGCAGCCCTTCGGCTCGCGAATCATTTTTGCCTTCAAGGGGTGATAGATTCAGTCGAGTCTGATTGACGCCGTTATGTAGATGGTCAGTCTTTTATAGAGCCTTTTTGAGTAGTCAGCTGAATGCCGTACGTTTTCTCAACCAGAAAAATACGTCTTAAGGACGACGTGAGCCCGCCACGAAGTCAAGGTGGCATCTCAAGAATACACTAGCAGAACGGTGCAAGAAGAGTTTTGATCTCTTATATATAATTAGGAGCTGGTCGCGTCTTTGCTTTGAAAGGTGGGCACCAAGTGGTTTGGTCTGAAGAGGGCAGCTGGTCGCCAGGGCTGTCTGAAGAAGTGAAGTACAAATTTTTTATTTCGTCTTTTTTCGACGACTTGCAATTTAAACTCCGACCATTTTCTCTCTGCAAGTAACAAGTCCGGTTGCAATGGGTTTGGAGACCGTTGAGACATCTTTCAAATTACTTCCGATATCTCGAAGAGGTCGGAAGCCGCGAAGTAAATTATCGACAGGCCTGTCGTCTGCCTGAAGAAAATTCTGCGGATCAACCTTGACGTCTGAGCAGAATCATTTCCTGCTCATAAAGGCTAGGTAGTGCGGCCCCATCGTGATCAAAATTCATAAACAACTCCTTCGCCTTACACTAGGCGTTCTACTCGTCCTTCAAATTCCTTGTCTTTGTCAATTCGTCTATAAAGCTCTCTGCTCTGGTCTGCCCTGCGGCCGGGTGACAATGGTATCAAAGTACAGGAGGGGAGCGCCACGTGAAAATTCCCATGCGTAGACGGTCTGAAAGCGGGGGCTCTCGTGTTTTGTTAGCCCTAGGTGCGCTTTGAAAGGCTGTGAACGGTTTCATCACGACGTCAGCGGTTGTTTGCTTCCAAACGTTAACGGAGAGACACATTGAATTGATGACTGAAGCCATGTAGAATCTTCCCATCACCAATCGAACCTCTGGTGGCTCGGCCGCCTCTAGTCTTATGCAAGCGTCAGGTGGCTTAGGTTGTACTACTGCTTTGCAAGTCAGAGTAGTCAGAGCCGCCAGGAAAACGCCCACGCAAAGTGATTACTAGTAGTCCTTATGCGCCCGAAATCTGATTGTCGTGGATTTGCATCTTGCATAGGCTTCGGCTAGCATCATCATGTGTGGGGGAGTAAGCCTAAGGCATAGCTGTGATCACGTGCAGGATAGAAGCCTACATGTCTAAGATGGAACAAACAGTTGGTTCTCGATATCAAAACTGTACAGAAGCTAGCCTAAAATATCGTCCTTGAGGTTAAATGCGAGTAATACAGCTGGGTATGCCGTGTTAAAGCTGAGATACGTGCATCCCTTCTAACGGCCATTGCAAAGGTATTGCAGGATCGACTCCGTATCATTCAGTGGCTGCAGCTCGAGCCGACGATCCCCGGTTTCTGACCGAAGGAATCGGCTGCCAGAAGAAGAAAAAGGGCGCCATCAATGCCACCAATCTAACTCTGGGCTGAGAGCTTAGGTCGCAATTGACAAAGCCAGCAGGTATTGCAATATGATAGACACTGTACTTCGTAAGACAGCAAAGCAAGTAGCTGTGCTTAAGGACTTCCTGCATCGGATAAAGTG